ACCGCCGGGGCTGGGAGGGTACGGTGGGCGACCACACGCCCTTCCCCGGGCACGAAGGCTGCTCCCACCGCCGTCCCCGCAGTGGAATTCTCACCTCCCCATCCCGAGAGATGTCGCAGGCGGCCACGCCAGTTCAGTCCGCGCCTGGGGCAGAGGCAGACACGGAGCTCGGCCGAGAGCTGAGGTGGTGACAGCCGCCCCGGGTGCCCCGCCCGCCTTGCCCGGCCGAGCCCACATCAGCTCGGCCCCACGCACCCTCCTCCCTTCCCCGCTCCGCCGCCGGCTGCAGCCAGTGCCCGGGACCCCTCTACTTACTGGCGCGATCGCCTGGGGCTGGTTGCAGAGCTGCCCCCCGAGCCGGCTCCCTTCCCGCCTGCGTCCGGCCCGGCCCGACCCGGCCCGGCCCTCTCGGTCCCACCGACGGCGGCTCCGGCCGCCCCGCCGCGCCGCCCCTCCACCGGAGCCCGAGGTCAGCGGAGCCCCAGGGCTGCCGGCCACCCCTCCCGCCGCCAAGCACACCGGTCTGCCGCCGCACCCTGGCTTTCCCCGTTTATTTAAAGGGAGTCACTGGCCCGGGGGGAGGCGAGTTTGTCAGCCCGCACCTTCCCGCGGCTGATGCCCGACTCCTCATCGCTCATTTAAACAAAGCGGTTACTCAGGTACGAGGCAATTGCAGCCAGCCCTCCCAAGCGAGGGCCAGCCGGTGCCACACCACACGCCCCGGCCGGGGGGGGACAGGAAAAGGGGGAGGGAAAGGCAAACAAAGCGTGGAGCCGGGCGTGCTGTAGGACGGGGGCGACCAACGTCCCCCGACCCCTCCCGCCCTGGCGGAGGGACTTCCTCGGGCTGCTTCTGCCCGCTGCCGCCCGCCACCGGGATTTGCTGGCCGGCCCCTCTCGGGCACGCAGTCCCTCGCAGCCCCCTGCCTCCCTACTGTAGACGGGATGAGGTTTTATATTGGAAATGAGGAGGCAGGGGGAGGAGAAGGCGCGCACACGGAGCGATGAGTGTGCGGTGTCAATCAGAGGGGTTTTGTGTCTCCTTGACTCCTGATGGTCCGTGGCTGAGGTGTCCCGGGTGGCACCACAATGAATATGAATAGGGGTCCTTGCTAAATGGGACAGTCAAAGCGCACCGCCCTGAATAATGGCACGTCATCCTAACTAGACCATTATACATAGGAGGGCTCCTTTT